TTAAAAATAAGCTAAAATAAGCTTTTGGGTTCATACCCCAAATATAAAGGAAATCCCTTTTTTTTAAAATAAAGTGCCTGATTAAAGGATTATTCTGATAGGATAAATTAAGTAGAACTCTACCTTTATTATATTTTATAGAATTTAACTATATCTAATAATATCAAAAATTATTGTGCCCCTACACTAAAATATATAAGTATATAAATTACATTAAATTTTTAATTTAACTTAATTTCCCCATTTTAAATCTTCCCCAATATAAATTCTAATAAAATATTTTTTTATTTCATTTTAATTTTTAGAACTTTAATTTCAATTTCATCTAATTCTTGATTAGGATGTTGAATTGGTCTTGAAATTAATTTACTTAGATTTATCCCCCTAATTTCAAGTCATAAAAATCTTTTACATTCTGAAGCAGCACTAAAATATTTTTTAATTCAAGCTATTGCTTCCATTAATTTTTTATTTTCAATCTTAATTAAAATAATTTTAATAAAAAATTTTGAAATTAATTATTTAATTTCAATTATAATTAATTCCTCAATATTAATAAAGATAGGATCTGCTCCTTTTCATTTCTGATTTCCTAATATTATTGAAGGATTATCTTGACTTAATTGCTTTATTTTAATAACTTGACAAAAAATTTCCCCTATAATTCTTCTTTCTTATTATATAAATAATAATTTTTTAATAATAATTATAATTATTAATGTTATTATTGGTGTTTTAGGAGGTATTAATCAAACTTCCCTTCGTAAATTAATAGCTTTTTCTTCAATTAATAATTTAGGTTGAATATTAATTTCTTTAATAATTAGAGAAAATTTATGATTATTTTATTTAACAATATATTCTTTTTTAATTAGAATTTTATGCTTAACATTTAATCTATTAAATGTATATTTTATTAATCAATTATTTATTATTAATATAAATTCAATTATTAAAATTTCACTATTAATTAATTTTTTATCTTTAGGAGGATTACCACCCTTTCTTGGATTTTTCCCTAAATGAATTACTATTAATTTTTTAATTTTAAATAATTTTTTTTATATTTCTTTTATTTTTATTATAATAAGATTAATTATATTATTTTTTTATATTCGAATTATCTATTCCTCTATTATATTTAATTATTTAAAATTAAAATGATTTACCTTTTTTTTAAAAAATAAATCAATATTAATAATTAATTTTTTTAGAATAATTTCTTTATTAGGTATAATTTTTAGAACTTTTTTTTATATATAAGGTTTTAAGTTATATAAACTAATAATCTTCAAAATTATAAAAAAAGAAATTCTTTAAGCCTTAGTATTTAATTATACTCCTTAAAATTTGCAATTTTATATCATTTTTGAATATAAAGCTTAATAAAAGAGATTATTTCTCATAAATAAATTTACAATTTATCGCTTATTATTCAGCCATTTTATTAGCGAAAATGACTTTATTCTACAAATCATAAAGATATTGGAACATTATATTTTATTTTTGGTATTTGAGCAAGAATATTAGGAACTTCATTAAGTTTATTAATTCGAACTGAATTAGGAACTCCAGGCTCTCTAATTGGAGATGATCAAATTTATAATACTATTGTTACAGCTCATGCTTTTATTATAATTTTTTTTATAGTTATACCTATTATAATTGGAGGATTTGGAAATTGATTAGTCCCATTAATATTAGGAGCTCCTGATATAGCTTTCCCCCGAATAAATAATATAAGATTTTGATTACTTCCCCCATCATTAACCCTTTTAATTTCTAGAATAATTGTAGAAAATGGAGCTGGAACTGGTTGAACAGTTTATCCCCCCCTCTCATCTAATATTGCCCATGGAAGAAGATCTGTTGACTTAGTTATTTTTTCTCTTCATTTAGCTGGTATTTCATCAATTTTAGGTGCAATTAATTTTATCACAACAATTATTAATATACGAATTAATAGAATATCTTTTGATCAAATACCATTATTTGTATGAGCTGTAGGAATTACTGCTTTATTACTACTTCTTTCTTTACCTGTATTAGCAGGAGCTATTACTATATTATTAACAGATCGTAACCTAAATACATCTTTTTTTGATCCTGCAGGAGGTGGTGATCCTATTTTATACCAACATTTATTTTGATTTTTTGGTCATCCAGAAGTTTATATTTTAATTTTACCAGGATTTGGTATAATTTCTCATATTATTTCTCAAGAAAGAGGAAAAAAGGAAACATTTGGTTGTTTAGGGATAATTTACGCCATAATAGCAATTGGATTACTTGGATTTATTGTATGAGCCCATCATATATTTACTATTGGAATAGATACGGATACTCGAGCTTATTTTACTTCTGCTACAATAATTATTGCTGTACCTACAGGAATCAAAATTTTTAGTTGATTAGCTACTTTCCATGGAACTCAAATTAATTATAGACCATCAATTTTATGAAGACTAGGATTTGTATTTCTTTTTACAGTAGGAGGATTAACTGGAGTTATTTTAGCTAATTCATCTATTGATGTAACTTTACATGATACATATTATGTAGTAGCTCATTTTCATTATGTTTTATCTATAGGAGCTGTATTTGCTATTATAGGAAGATTTATTCATTGATATCCTTTATTTACTGGTCTTTCTTTAAATCCTTATTTTTTAAAAATTCAATTTTTTACTATATTTATTGGAGTAAATTTAACTTTTTTTCCTCAACACTTTCTTGGATTAGCAGGTATACCTCGTCGTTACTCAGATTATCCTGATAATTTTATATCTTGAAATATTTTATCCTCATTTGGTTCATATATTTCATTATTTTCATTAATAATAATAATAATAATAATAATTATTTGAGAATCATTTATTAATCAACGAATAATTTTATTTCCTCTTAATATACCTTCTTCCATTGAATGATTACAAAATTTACCTCCTGCAGAACATTCATATAATGAACTTCCTATTTTAAGAAACTTCTAATATGACAGATTATATGTAATGGATTTAAGCCCCATTTATAAAGGATTTATCCTTTTTTTAGAAATGGCTACCTGATCTAATTTTAATTTACAAAATAGAGCTTCTCCATTAATAGAACAAATTATTTTTTTTCATGATCATACTTTAATTATTTTAATTATAATTACTATTTTAGTTGGTTACTTAATAATTAATTTATTTTTTAATAAATATATTAATCGATTTTTATTAGAAGGTCAAATAATTGAATTAATTTGAACTATTATTCCAACAATTACTTTAATTTTTATTGCTTTACCTTCTTTACGTTTACTTTATCTTTTAGATGAATTAAACAATCCTTTAATTACTTTAAAATCAATTGGACATCAATGATATTGAAGTTATGAATATTCTGATTTTAATAATATTGAATTTGACTCTTATATAATTAACTATGAAAAATCCAATATTAATAATTTTCGATTATTAGATGTAGATAATCGAATTATTTTACCTATAAATAATCAAATCCGAATTATAGTTACCGCTACAGACGTTATTCATTCATGAACTATTCCATCTTTAGGGGTTAAAATTGATGCTAATCCTGGTCGTCTTAATCAAACTAATTTATTTATTAACCGACCTGGTATTTTTTTTGGTCAATGTTCTGAAATTTGTGGAGCTAATCATAGTTTTATACCTATTATAATTGAAAGAATTACAATCAAAAATTTTATTAATTGAATTAATAATTATTCTTCATTAGATGACTGAAAGCAAGTACTGGTCTCTTAAACCATTATATAGTAAATTAGCATTTACTTCTAATGAAAGAATTAGTTAAATTTATAACATAAATATGTCAAATTTAAATTATTACATTAGTAATATTCTTTTATTCCTCAAATAATACCTATTAATTGAATTATATCATTTATTATATTTATTATAATTTTTATTATTTTCAATATTATAAATTATTATATTTTTATAAATAATAATAATAATAATAAAAATAATAATATTAATAATAAATTAATTAATAAAAATCTTAATTGAAAATGATAAATAACTTATTTTCTATTTTTGACCCCACAACAAATATTTTTAACTTATCATTAAATTGATTAAGAACTTTAATTGGATTATTTTTTATTCCTTATTCTTTTTGAATTATTCCTAATCGACAATTTATTTTCTGAAATTTTATTTTAAATAAACTTCATAATGAATTTAACTTATTATTAGGTAATAATAAATTAAATAAAGGATCTACTTTTATTTTTATTTCATTATTTTCTTTTATTTTATTTAATAATTTTTTAGGTTTATTTCCTTATATTTTTACAAGAACTAGTCACCTTACTATTTCTCTATCTATTTCACTTTCACTATGATTAAGATTTATATTATATGGTTGAATTAATAATTATCAACATATATTTATTCATATAATTCCTCAAGGTACTCCTTCTATTTTAATACCTTTTATAGTTTTAATTGAAACAATTAGAAATATTATTCGACCAGGAACTTTAGCTGTTCGATTAACCGCAAATATAATTGCTGGACATTTACTACTAACATTACTAAGAAGAACCGGTAATAATATATCTTTTTATTTTTTAATTATTTTAATTTTTTTACAAATTTTATTATTAATTTTAGAATCAGCAGTTGCGGTTATTCAAGCTTATGTAATTTCTATTTTAAGAACATTATATTCTAGAGAAGTTAATTAATTATTAATGTCAATAAATAATAATCATCCATTTCACTTAGTAGATTATAGACCATGACCTTTAACAGGAGCTATTGGTGTAATAACATTAGTTACAGGCATAATCAAATGATTTCATGAATTTAATATAAATTTAATAATTTTAGGTTATATAATTATTTTATTAACAATATATCAATGATGACGAGATATTTGTCGAGAAGGAACATATCAAGGAAATCATACTATTTTAGTTTCTAAAGGATTACGTTGAGGAATAATCTTATTTATTGTATCAGAAATTTTTTTTTTTATTTCATTTTTTTGAGCTTTTTTTCATAGAAGATTATCTCCTAATATTGAAATTGGAGCTATATGACCCCCTTCAAGAATTATTCCTTTTAATCCCTTCCAAATTCCCTTATTAAATACCATTATTTTAATTACTTCAGGAGTTTCAGTAACTTGAGCTCATCATGCTATTATAGAAAATAATTTTTCTCAAACTACTCAAGGTCTTTTTATTACTATTATATTAGGAATTTATTTCACAATTCTTCAAGCTTATGAATATATTGAAGCCCCATTTACTATTGCAGATTCAATTTATGGCTCAACCTTTTTTATAGCAACCGGATTTCATGGATTACATGTAATTATTGGTACAATTTTTTTAACTATTTGTTTTATTCGTCATTTATCAACTCATTTTTCTAGTAATCATCATTTTGGATTTGAAGCAGCAGCTTGATATTGACATTTTGTTGATGTAGTTTGATTATTCCTTTATATCTCTATTTATTGATGAGGTAATTAATTTATTTATATAATATATTTAGTATATTTGATTTCCAATCAAAAAGTTTAATTTAATTTAATATAAATAATTATATTATTATTTATTATTTCAATATTAATTATTTTAATTTCTAATATTTTAATATTTTTAACAATTATCCTATCAAAAAAATCATTTATAGACCGAGAAAAAAATTCACCCTTTGAATGTGGATTTGACCCTAAATCTTCTGCACGAATTCCTTTTTCTTTACATTTCTTTCTAATTACAGTAATTTTCTTAATTTTTGATGTAGAAATTGCTTTAATTTTTCCTCTAATTCAATCTTTTTATTTAACTAATTATTTTTCAATAATAAAAATTAGATTTTTTTTTTTATTAATATTATTAATTGGACTTTATCATGAATGAAACCAAAATATATTAAATTGAACAAATTAGGATTATAGTTTATTTAAAACATTTGATTTGCATTCAAAAAATATTGAATTCAATTTATCTTAAATATGAAGCAATATTATGCATTTAATTTCGACTTAAAAGAAAGAGTTATTACTCCATATTTTTAATTGAAACCAAAATAGAGGTATATCACTGTTAATGATATTAATGAATTTTTATTCCAATTAAAGAAATATGAAAAATTAAGCTTCTAACTTAAATTATAGTAGATTATATCTATTAATATTTCTAATTTATATAGTTTATTTAAAACATTACATTTTCATTGTAAATAAAAAAAAATTTTTTTTATAAATATTTAAAGATTTATTAATCTCCTTAATATCTTCAATATTATACTCTTTATAAGCTATTTAAATTTATAATAAAAATAATAATAAATAAAAAATTAATATTCAAAAAAAAAATCTAAATAAATAAATTTTAAAATTATTTATTTGATAAAAATTATAAAAAATTGAATAATTTTTAATAATATTAAATATTCCTTGACCTCTATATAATTCTCTTCAACCTATATCAATATTTTTTAATAAACTTTGACCCATTTTTAAAAAATAAATATTTAACCCATAAGTTGATAAATTTGGTATAAATCACATTAAACATAAAAAATTTCTTAAATTATAAGTTATTAAAAACTTATTAATAGAATAAATTTTTATTTTTCTAATTATATACCCTAAAAATAATCCAATTATTACAACATAAATTACTATTATTTTTAAATTAAAAGGTAAATAAATTATATAAGGATAATTAAAAATTATTCATCTTAAAAATCTACCTACTACTAATCTCATAAATAATAATATAAATATTCTCTTTAATATAACATAATCTTCATCATATAAATTATAAACTACTATTAAATTATAATCATTAATTATTAAATAAAATAATAAACGAATTGTATAAAATATAGTTAATCCAGTAGATAAATAATATAAAAAAAAAATTATTAAATTTAAATTTCTTATACTTACTATCTCTAAAATTAAATCCTTAGAATAAAATCCTGCTAAAAAAGGAAGCCCACATAAAGCCAAATTTGAAATATTTAAACATAATCTTGTTAAAGGAATATAAAAACTAATTCCCCCTATATAACGAATATCTTGAATATCTCTTATTATATGAATTACCACTCCAGCACATATAAATAATAAAGCTTTAAATATAGCATGAGTTAATAAATGAAAAAATGCTAAATCCGATATTCCTATACTTAAAATTCTTATTATTAAACCTAATTGACTTAAAGTAGATAAAGCAATAATCTTCTTTAAATCAAATTCATAATTAGCAGAAATACCAGCTATAAATATTGTTAATCCTGATAATAATAATAAAAACTTTAAAAAAAATATATCAATTAATATTATATTAAAACGAATTAATAAATAAACACCAGCAGTCACTAATGTAGAAGAATGAACTAAAGCAGAAACAGGAGTTGGAGCAGCTATAGCTGCTGGTAATCAAGATCTAAAAGGAATTTGAGCTCTTTTAGTTATAGATGCAATAATTAATATTAAACCAATAATTTTTATTATATAATCATTATTTATAAAATTTAAAAAAAAAATATAATTTCATCTTCCATAATTTATTATTCAAGAAATTACCATTAAAATTATTACATCCCCAATACGATTAGATAAAGCAGTTAATATACCTGCATTATAAGATTTAATGTTTTGATAATAAATTACTAAACAATAAGAAACTAATCCTAATCCATCTCAACCTAAAAAAATTCTAATTATATTAGGACTAATAATTAATAAAATTATTGAAAATACAAATAATAAAACTAAAATAATAAATCGATTTAAATTTTTTTCTGAAGATATATAACTTTTTCTATAATAAATTACTGAGGATGAAATTATTAAAACAAATATTATAAATAATAATGATATTCAATCTAATAAAATAGATATAACAACTCTTATAGAATTAAAAGAAATAATTTCCCACTCTAAAAAAAGAACTATATTTTCCATAATAAAATAAATTATAAAAAAAAAATTTATTATTCTAAAAAAAAATAAAAAAAAAAAACTAATAAAACAAATTGAAAATTTTTTTATGATTTAAAATGAATTTTCATATTTTTGATTCCACAAATCAATATTTTTTTTAAATTATTTAAATTAAAATCAAATTATAAAAAAATCAATTTTTAAAATTAATAAATTTAAAGGTAATCAATGTAATATTAATAATAAATATTCACGAGAAATACCACCATAAAATCTATAAATTCTTATATTATATTTTCCATGTTGAGTATAAGAATATAAATATAAACTATAACCAGCTCTAAAAAAAGAAATTATAATAAGACTAATTATAGATAAATATGATCATCTTACAATTCTATTAATTAATCTAATTTCACCTATTAAATTTATAGAAGGTGGAGCAGCTATATTTGAAGATATTAATAAAAATCATCATAAACTTATAGAAGGTATAAAATTTATTATTCCTTTATTTATATATAATCTTCGACTTTGTAATCGTTCATAATTAATATTAACTAAACAAAATATTCCAGAAGAACATAAACCATGACCAATTATTATTACATAAGAACCTAAATAACCCCAATAATTTATAGTTATAATCCCACAAATTACTAATCTTATATGAGCTACTGAAGAATAAGCAATTAATGACTTTATATCAACTTGACAAAAACAATTTAATCTAATATATAAACCACCTAATAATCTAATAATTATTCAAATTAAATTATATTTTATATTAATTTTTTGAAAAAGAATTAAAATTCGTAAAAGTCCATAACCCCCTAATTTTAATATAATACCAGCTAAAATTATTGAACCTGAAACAGGAGCTTCTACATGAGCTTTAGGTAATCATAAATGAACAAAATATATCGGTATTTTAACTAAAAAAGCTAAAATTATTGATAAATATAATAAAAAAAAATTTTCATTTAAAAACTTAAAAAAATATATAATTATACAATTATAATTTCTAAAAATAAAAAAAATCCCTATTAATATAGGTAATGAAGCAAATAAAGTATAAAATAATAAATATATTCCTGCTTGAATTCGCTCAGGTTGATAACCTCAACCAATAATTAATATTAATGTAGGAATTAATCTACCTTCAAAAAATAAATAAAATAAAAATAAATTTATAACTCTAAAAGTTATGTATAATATAATTAATAAAATAATAATGTTAAATAAAAAAAAATTAATATAAAAATTTAATTTATTTAAATTTTCTCTGGCCATAATTATCAATAAACAAATTCAAATTCTTAATAAAATTAATCCATATGAAATTATATCACACCCTATTATATACCTAAGATTACAAAAATTCATAATATTCATATTTAAATTTATAAATATAAATATTATTAATAATAAAACTATTTGAACCATTCAAAATATATTATTTAAAAAACATAAAGGAATTGTAAAAATTATTATTATTAAAAATTTTATCATTATAATATACTAAATCTTTGAAAATAATCATTTCCATGAGTTCGAATTATAGAAACTAAAATAGATAATCCTAAAGCTCCTTCACAAACAGAAAATAATAAAAAAATTATTAATATATATATATCATATTCAATACAACTTAAATATACAACTAATAAAAAAAAAAGTCTTAAAACAATAAATTCTAATCTTAATAAAACAATCAATAAATGTTTATGTTTAGAAATAAAAATTATATTCCCAAAAATAAATATTATTATAATAAGTAATCATATATTTATCATTAGTTTTTATAGTTTAAAAAAAACATTGGTCTTGTAAATCAAAATTAAGTTAAATCTTTAAAAACTTCAAAGAAAAAGAATTTCTTTATCTATAATCTCCAAAATTATTATTTTAATAAACTATTCTTTGAAATATTAAAAATATTTTTCTCTACAATAATTATTATATTTTCTATTATAATATTATTTTTAAATCACCCTTTATCTATAGGATTAATAATTTTAATTCAAACTCTTATTATTTGTTTATTATCTGGAATATTAATTAACTCTTATTGATTCTCTTATATTTTATTTTTAGTTTTTTTAGGTGGTTTATTAGTTTTATTTATTTATGTTTCAAGTGTAGCTTCTAATGAATTATTTAATATAAATTTTTTTTTAAAAAATATTATATTTTTATTAATATTAATATCTTTATTTTTAAGACTTTATAATATATACAATTTAAATTGATTAAATTTTTCATTTAATAATGAAATAAAAAATTTAACAAATTTTTTTATTTTTTTTAATAATGAAAATAAAATTAATTTATCCAAATTATATAATAAACAAACTCATTTAATAATAATAATATTAATTATTTATCTTTTTATTACTTTAGTAGCTATTGTAAAAATTACTAATATTTTTTTTGGTCCTCTTCGATCAACTAATTATTAATTTACTAATGATAAATAAATTTTTTCCTATTCGTAAAACTCATCCTTTATTTAAAATTATTAATAATTCTTTAATTGATTTACCTTCCCCCTCAAATATTTCATCATGATGAAATTTTGGCTCTTTATTAGCTTTATGTTTAATTATTCAAATCCTAACAGGATTATTTTTAACTATATATTATACAGCAAATATTGAATTAGCTTTTTATAGAGTCAATTATATTTGCCGAAATGTGAACTATGGTTGATTAATTCGTACCTTACATGCCAATGGAGCTTCTTTTTTTTTTATCTGTATTTACCTTCATATTGGACGAGGAATCTATTATGAATCTTTTAATTTAAAATATACTTGAATAGTAGGAATTATTATTCTTTTTATTTTAATAGCAACAGCTTTTATAGGATATGTTTTACCTTGAGGACAAATATCTTTTTGAGGAGCTACAGTAATTACTAATTTACTTTCAGCTATTCCATATTTAGGATCTATATTAGTTAATTGAATTTGGGGGGGATTTGCAATTGATAATGCAACTCTAACACGATTTTATTCATTTCATTTTCTTTTCCCATTTATTATTTTAATATTAACTATAATTCATTTATTATTTTTACATCAAACAGGATCTAATAATCCATTAGGAATAAATAGTAATCTAGATAAAATTCCTTTTCACCCATTTTTTACATTTAAAGACTTAATTGGATTTATTTTATTATTATCATTATTAAGAATATTAACATTAACTAATCCTTACTTATTAGGAGATCCTGATAACTTCATTCCTGCTAATCCCTTAGTAACTCCTATTCATATTCAACCTGAATGATACTTTTTATTTGCTTATGCTATTCTTCGTTCTATTCCCAATAAATTAGGAGGAGTTATTGCTTTAGTTATATCTATTTTAATTTTAATTATTTTACCTTTAACTTTCAACAAAAAAATTCAAGGAATTCAATTTTATCCTCTTAACCAAATATTATTTTGAATTATAGTCTCTACAATTATTCTTTTAACTTGAGCAGGAGCTCGACCGGTTGAAGAACCTTATATTATTACAAGACAAATTTTAACTTTATTATATTTTTCTTATTTTATTATTAATCCAATTATTAGAAAATATTGAGATAATTTAATTTTTAATTAACTAATTAATGAGCTTGTAAAAGCATTTGTTTTGAAAACTTAAGAAAGAATTTAATATTCTATTAATTTATACTAAATTTATTAACTAATTAAAAAAAAATTTTTAATCCTAAAAAAAATAATAAAAAATTTAATGAAACTGGTAAATATCTTTTTCAAGATAAATATATTAATTTATCATATCGATAACGAGGTAAAGTACCTCGAATTCAAATAAATACAAAAGAAATAAATGATAATTTTATATAAAAAATTAATCTTAATCTATAACCTCCTATATATAATAAAATAAATAATAAACTTATAAAAAGAATTCTAGCGTATTCAGATAAAAAAATTAAAGTAAAACCCCCTCTTCTATATTCAACATTAAATCCAGATACTAACTCTCTTTCACCTTCCGCAAAATCAAATGGAGTTCGATTAGTTTCAGCTAATCTAGAAGATAATCAACATAAACTTAAAGGTATTATTAAAAAAAAAAATCAAATAACTTCTTGATAAAAAAAAAAATTAATTATATTAAAATTTATAATTATAATAATTCTTGATAATATAATTAAAGCTAATCTAACTTCATAAGAAATAGTTTGAGCTACAGCTCGTAATCCCCCTAATAAAGCATAATTAGAATTTGAAGATCACCCTGCAACTATTACCGTAAATACTCCAATTCTTGTACAACATAAGAAAAATAAAATCCCTAAATTAAATCTAATTAAATTAAAATAATAAGGAATTAATAATCAAGATATTAAAATAACAATAAGTCTAACTACTGGAGAAAAATAATAAACCATATAATTAGAATAACTCGGAAAAGTCTGTTCCTTATTAAATAACTTTACAACATCAGCAAAAGGCTGTAAAATTCCTATATAACCAACCTTATTAGGACCTTTTCGAATTTGAATATATCCTAAAGCTTGACGTTCTAATAAAGTTAAAAAAGCAACTCCTACTATTACCCCAATAATCATAATTAAAACACCAATTATATATAAATATATATCTTTAATTATCATTTACTATATATATAAATAAATTATATATTAATGACTTCTAAAATCATCACATTTTTTCTGTCAAAATAGTTATTATTGACTATTAATAATATTCATTATGTTAAAATTATTTTTAATATTTGATCCTTTCGTACTAAAATATTATAATTATTTAAAGATAGAAACCAACCTGGCTTACACCGGTTTGAACTCAGATCATGTAAGATTTTAATGATCGAACAGATCAAAATTTTAAACTTTTGCATTTAAATTTTATCTTAATCCAACATCGAGGTCGCAAACTTTTTTTCCTATTTGAACTAAAAAAAAAAATTACGCTGTTATCCCTAAGGTAATTTTTTCTTTTAATCATTATAAATGGATCATTTAATCATAAATCAATGTTAATAAATAAAAAAAGTTAATTTAATTTTTCTATCACCCCAACAAAATAATTTATTTTATTATAATTTTAAAAATTATATATTAACAATAATTAAATAAATTATTAAACTCTATAGGGTCTTCTCGTCTTTTAAAATTATTTTAGCTTTTTTACTAAAAAATTAATTTCTATAAATTAACTAGAGACAGTTTATATTTCATCCAATCTTTCATACAAGTCACCAATTAAGAGACTATTGATTATGCTACCTTTGTACAGTCAAAATACTGCAGCCCTTTAATAAATTATCAGTGGGCAGATTAGACTTTAAATTATTTTCAAAAAGACATGTTTTTGATAAACAAGTGAATATAAAATTTTGCCGAATTCCTTTAATTAACTTTTAATAATTTTCTTTTTAAAAAAAAATTATATACTAATTTTATCATTATATCTAATTTTTTTTTATTAAAATATATTTTTTTATAAAAATTTAAATTTTTTTCTTTTAAATTTTAATTTAAATTAAATTATTTATAAAAAATTATAATTTATAAAACAATTTAAATTTTATAATTTTAATAAATTAAATAAATTATTATAAAAATTTATTTTAAAGCTTATCCCTTAAAATATTTAATATTAATTAATAAAATTTTTTCTAATAAAAATTTTAAATATAATATTTAAAATTAAATTTTTTTCTAAAAAAACTAGATATTTTTAAAAACGATTAACATTTCATTTCCAATTAATTATTAAAAATAATTATTCTACATTAACTTTTATAATTAATTAACTCTTTTAAATTCGAGAAATTATTATTTTATAATTATTATTAATAAACTCTGATACACAAGATACAATAAATTAAATTTACTTTTTTATAAATTATTTTCCCCTATTTATAAATTCTTTTATAATACTATTTCACTATAAATTTTTAAATTTTTTCTATATATATACTTTAACCCCCATTAAAATATATTTTTTAAAATTTTTTTTTTATAATTTATTATTAATTTTTCCCCCTCAAATTAATTAAATTTAATATCTTTTCAATGTAAATGAAATACTTATTCAAGCTCTAATTTGATCTTTCTAGAAACACTTTCCAGTACTTCTACTTTGTTACGACTTATTCCAATTTATTAATGAAAGCGACGGGCAATATGTACATATTTCAATTTTTAATCATTTTAATAAATTAAATAAAATTACATTTAAGTCCACCTTCAAATAATTTTTAAAAAATATTATTCATTTAATCATTTCTTATTGTAATCCATTATATTCTTAATTATAATCTGCATCTTGATCTGAATTAATTTTATTTTCAAATTTTTAAATATTATTTTTATTAAAAAATATTTTTTTAACAACGATATACAAAATCATTTAAATTAAGTAAATTTATTCGTGGAATATCAATTATTAAACAGATTCCCCTAAATGAACTAAAATACCGCCAAATTATTTAAGTTTCAATAAATAATTATATACTATTTTAGCATTTTTATTTTAATTTTAATAATAGAGTATCTAATTCTAGTTTTTTTTAAAATTTTATAAATCATATTATTCTATAAAATTTTAAATAAATTAAAATTTCACCTAATAATTCAATATTTAATTTTAAAATACTAATATTTATTATTTACCAATAAAATTTAAATCATTTTTTGTTTAACCGCAACTGCTGGCACAAAATTTGTTAATAATTTAAAATATTACTAAATCTTAATTTCTTAAATTTTTAATGTTAATTACTATAAATTAATTTATAAAAATTATTAAAATAATTAAAAATTCATACTAAAATTTATATGTAAAATAAACTTAAATTAAATTTTATAAATCATAAAAAATTTATTTATATATGAAAATTTTTCATATAGATTTTTTTTTTTTAAATTAAAATTTTATATATTTATTATATATATATAAATATTTAATATATAAAAAAATTATATAATAAAATATTTATTAGCCATTAATAAACATTGAATAATTTCTTTTTTTTTTTTTTCATAATAATTATTAAATACCTAAATTGCTATATAAAATTTTATAAACTAAAAAATTATATTATATTATAAATATATTAATTAATTAAATTTATTTTATTATATTATTATAATTAATAATAAATTAAAAATTTAATATATATATATATATATATAATACTAAAATAAATTTTTATTTTAAAAATTTATTGTAAATTTTTATAAATTAATTTTTAATTTAATTTTTTATAAAACCATTTTTAATCTTTTTTTTATATAAATATATAAAATAAAGTA